CCTGGGAGGCTAAGGCAGGAGAATTGCTTGAACTGGGAGGCAGAGGTTGCAGTGAGCTGAGATCATGCCATTGCACTCCAGCCTGGGTAGCAAGAGTGAAATTTCGTCTCAAAATAAAGGAAAAAAAAAAAAAGAGTGAGATGTGTTGATCTCTAAGATGGATTAGATCATGTCCACCTCTAAAATCCCATGACCCTACAAACTCACTGGACCGATTTTCAGAACCCACCACAAAGCTCTGATGGTGTTAACTGCTCCACGCATCTCAAACTCTAACTTCTACACCTTTCCAAGGGGAACTGAGACATGAACCGTTTTCAGGGCTCACTCATTTCAACACAGAATTCCCAAATCTCATCCCACAACAAAGAGACCCCAAACCCGACGACATCCAGGAAGGGATTCCAAACTCCTATCCTTGCCTTGTACAAGGTGATGTTTGAAGCATGTGGAAAGTGCAATGTGGCCACAAACAGGTGGACATAGTCACTGTTCAGACCACCCTCGTAAATATTCTCTGCGATGATCTTGCTGACGAAATTTTTGCCGGTGCCTGTCCACCCGTGCAGGGAGAGGGTGAGAGGTTTCTTGGGCTTCGGATTGTTTATGAAACCAAACACGGCATTTAAGATGATTTTCTTTGCAAGATGCTGTCCAAAGAGCTTGTTGTCCAGATCCTTCTGCAATGCTGGGGGAGACAAAGCCAATCAGGAGTGGGGAAGAAACAGTGACAAAAGGCAGCCACATTTACAGCCCATGAGAAAGCCAGCAAAGCTGTCTGGCTCTTCAAGCACCTTGTGAAACCTCAAGTACTGCGGTCTGTAAGCTCCTGGCCCAGAGGGGACGGTGGTCCAGGGAGCCCTCCCTTTGCTGGTCCTGCCTATTCTAAAGCCCTGGCCCGGTTCCTTCCCGAAAAGGCCCTTGGTGCGGGTGCCACTGCCACTGCCACTGCCACCAGTTTGCACCTCTAACCCCTGTGCTGCTCCTCCCACCCCAAGGCAGGGCGGGGAAAGGAAGCAGTTTGGTCCCTCCTGGTCGGCTCCGAAGAAGTCCTCACCATCCTTCCTGTCTCCCGCTAGGCTATAAAGGAAGCAGAGCCCACTTCGGAGGGAGGTTACCACCGGTCCACCCCCAGCTTAGCACAAAGTAGGCCAACCTGCAGCCCGGCTCCTCAGGTCTCCAACTGAAGTCTGGCCCATCTGTGGTGGCCAAGGGGCCAGGCCTCATTCTGCAGGGGCCGCTCGGCTTCCGGGGTCCGGCCCGCACGGACTCAGCTCTGTCCAGGCCCGGCCCTCCTGGGATTTGACCCCTATCCCGGCCCGGCCCTAGTGCCATCCCCCAGCCCCAGCCCCCAAGCCCCGCTCCAGCCCTAGTCCTAG